ACTCGCAGTCTAACAATAAGATGGACTGGAAGGACCACGGCTGCGGACCCTCTAACCTTGAGTTTGGTAGCGGCACCCATGGGGAGAGAAGAAGACAAGCATCTTTAAGCCTCTCGGTGCTGCTTCTTTTTCCAGTATAAACTCCTTCTTTAATTTCTAGTTATTTCTAAAAGCATGTATTCTCTACATACCTTGGAAAACCTTACTTTTTCTGTCCACATTTATTTTTTGTATTAAATAAAAAAAGAAGAAAGTCTCTGAGGCTTTGACTTAGTCATCATTTGATTTTTCACACCAATGAGGGAAACGATGACACAGGTAATTTTAGGTTACCCATTTTATTGTTCAAGAACACAGTCAGAAGCATACATGAAAGTACAAAGCAACCTTACTTCTGAGCTCAGCCCTGTGTCATTTCTGGGTGGACCTAAGTGGACTGTCTTTGCAAAGGCAAATGAAAATTGGAGGCCTGCCATGTTTTTTGTTCAAATCAGCCGCTGTTCACTATTTTCCAGTGAGCATTCACGTTTCTCAAGGATATTTTGGTTAGTGGAAACCCTGGCCAAGGTCACCATGAAATAAAGAAGGTAATTTCATTTAAAGACAGAAGAAAACCTGGCGTCCCAGCTGATTTTCAATTTACCCTCAAGGTCAGGCCCAAACTTCAGACATCAGTTTCCCATTCTTAACATCACAGCAGAAATGGCCGTCCTATCTTCCTTGCCAACTCATTAAGAGCATCGTATTAAATATGAAACATGTAAACACTTAAACCTTAGAGCATTAGGTATGAGAGGCAGCTCATTATCTTGCATGCAAAATTTAAATAGTGTCGAGGAAATGTTGGCATTAGGAGTAAGTCCCCCACAACAACAAAAATTAATTAGGAGATTACTATTAAGACCCATGAAAGGTAAAGGGCCTATTGTAGACCAGAATTTTTTTTCCAGACCAGAAAAAATAAAATTATGTTCCAAAATATAACCCAGGTGGCTAAGTAGGTTCTAGTTTTTCTCCTTGCATATAACAAGTTCCTTGCAAGAGCTCAGATAAACCACCCCCTGTTCTACTGTAAATCGTCAGCCACACAAAGTCCTTTCCTTTTTGTTTTTTCTCTCGACTACAGAAAATTCTGTAAGTTGTAGATCCGGATAATGTTCGAAAAAAATGTCACCTAAGAGTTGCCTATTCTCTTCATAGAAATGCTTCCTCTCCACAAAGTTCAGCACCTGCCCCACCCACTGCCAAGACTTAACTTGCAGACTAGTGTGACTACTCAGCTGCTCCAGAGATATCTTCTGAAGGTACGACTGAGTGTGGATTTTTGTTATTAACAAAAAATCAAAGTCCTCATTTACTGGGTTCCAGGCATGTTACAGCTAGTAACAATACTAACGTTTTAGATTAAATAAGTAATCTTTAAATCTTTTCCATTTTTCCTAAATCTTTAAGTAGTTTTTTTTTTTTTTTTTTTTTTTTTTTTTTTTGAATGGTATTTTAAGTACAGGGAAGCAGTTGGGTAATAGGACATTGATTACCAGATTTGTATAGTGAGCAATCTATCCTAGAAAAGGCTTTATAGACACACAGAAGACTTTTCATCCCTGGCATCAACATTTGTTAATTGTTTAACTTTGGGCTCATAACTTAACTTCATGGAGTCTCCTTATTAAAAACAGTAGACAATAATATTTACAGTGCAGTTCTGTCATGAGAATTAGAAAAAAAAAGAAGTACCAGAATATAAATGTAATGAAGGAAATCAATAAATGGTAGCAAAACAATCATAATTACTATGATTACAAAATGTCACACAGAATTTCTAAAGTACATGGGTCTATCTTGTCAATGTGTAAAAGTTCAAATATAGGTGCCATTCAGTTACCATTGCCAGCTTTGTGCCCCACCATGGGCAAGATACTGTGCGGAGGGCTGAAATTCACCAGGGATGCCAACTGACAAGTTATCTGATACAAGAGGCTTAGGGACACTAGGAATATAGACAACTGGACAATTGCATAAAATGTGGAACAGAAACTTAATGTTATCTGTAATAATGGGGTTGAAGTTTGAGCCTGTCAGGGGAGGAAATGAAGAAAAGGCACGAGACAGCTCTAGAAAAATTTAAGAGAGGGGTTAACAATGTACAGAGTAAAAACAACGTAGGGAGAATAAAAGTCTGAATTTAATAATCAAATGTGGAGCAGTTCTAGGCACTGACAAAGTCTGGGGTGGCCATGGGAGTGGGCATCTGAGATGGGGCAGAACCCATGGGTGCATGAGATCATCCCTCCAAGGACATGCTGGTCCAGGTGAGCGGGTGAGGGAAATACACAGAGCTTCTTGATGAGCAGGGTGGGAAGGGGATGCTTTCATTTCTTTGAAAGGAGTTAGCCAAAATATGGATTGATTTCACGGTGAATTACATAGAAGTGTGTGTG